ATCTTAACATTCATGAGGTACTTTACATTGACTGTTTATGGTTGAGTGTGAGCGTATAGAGGGTAGAACCTGAGGCGGGACCTCGTGCGCAAACTCTGACGTGCGGCTGTGATTTATAAAGGAAAGATGCGCAGAAACATGTGTACGCACCGTTTTATAAATCTGAATTTTTTTTGGCATACGCCATTTCTGCCTTTTGGCCGTACATTCACTTTTAGTATGGTTTCCACGCAATCCTTTATAAATGAGACCCCAGATATTTACAAGAACCCTCATTTTAAACCATTTTTAAATAAATATAGGATTTATAATACTTTGGGGTTGAGAGGCTTCGGCTGCTTGTTTTTATTATTCTATTGTGATTTTATTGACCTTTGTGTTGAGTTTTGAAAGGCGCCTATAAATAAAATTTTATATTATAATTATGTTGTTTTGGTGGAGTGGTTAGTGGAGTCGTCCTGGAACTGGAAGGTCGCCGGTTTGATCCTCTGTCCAGCCGTCTCAGTCGTTGTGTCCTTGGGCAAGACACTTCACCCACCTTGCCTACTGATGATGGTCAGAGGGTCCGGTGGTGCCGGTGCATGGCAGCCCCACCTCTGTCAGTGTGCCCCAGAGCAGCTGTGGCTACAATGTAGCTTACCATCAGTGTGTGAATGAGTGAATGTTTGTAAAGCGCTTTAGTGCTTTATAAGTTCAGTTTTATTACATAAACTTGATTCTTGGTCGTCTGTTAGAACAAAGTTAACGTTAATTCAACTCAAACTACAAGTGAATTGAAATTATTCATACACATAATGTTAGCTGTGAGCACCATGCAATCAAAATACATTTTCATAAGTTAGCAACTGTTTTTTTTTTTTTTTTTTTTTAGGACATCGATCTTTTTACACTTAGAGATTCGTGTAAAAATTCATTATGACAAAAATTCTGATTTCAAATGATTCACACTTGCTTGGCAATTAGAAAAAATAAATATAAACTGGAAAAAAGGTAATTAATTAATATTTGAGCTTCAGTAGTGTTTTGATCCATAAAAGACAATCTCACAAACACCATTTGGACTGGTTTCCAGTTCAGTGTCAAGAGAACCAACAGGTTATATCATCATTTGTATCATGCTTGCTACGCAGGATTCTGTGACCTATATTTTATCAAAGGGATCATTTTTTTCCCCTCAAAAACCAGTTGTATATCATTTCATACCTGTTTTCTGCCCTCTGGTGGATTATCAACGTACTGCAGGAAGTGGAACTTTTTTTTAAGAACATCAATATTGTTTGTAATTTTTTTAATAAATACTTTGTGTTGAAACAATTCATAATTACTTAAAAATATTTTTAATAGTACAGCTAAACTGTGTTCAAAATGTGTGTATCAAACTTGATACATCAGGTATACAAGTTTCTCCCGTATGTGACATTTTAGTAATTTAATCAACAGTATTCTTGTCACAACACAACACGCTATTTAGCCTGATTAATTACTGAAATGCCATTTGAAAACACATTTTAACTATTTTCTAAGTGGTTTCCTTTGAAATTATAATCTCTACGCTGTACTGACCAAATATTTACGTGTTAGATGTCAAAGAAAATTGAGGAAAAAGAGAGAAAAAAAAGAAAAGTAAGAAAATGTCGTCAATATGATAATAGATGGTAATTTTTTTTATAAAGTGTAAGCTACATCTGTGCCTGAAAAAGGACAGAAACTGTATTTGTGCCTACCACCAAGTGAAATTAATGGCTGTAAAATGTTCATTGTAAAAATAAAAAAAAAAAGAAGTAAACTTCCTAGAGTGTTTTAAACTTGTTAAAAGTTATGGGCAACACTGTCTTTTGTTTCTTAATTTAACTTTTTTGTGAGCAAAATGTWACCAAAACAGCCCAGTGGATCAGATTAGACACAAAAAAATATCTCATAAACAAAGTGATGTGACAAAAAAAAAATTTTTTTTGGATTTTGTTTCAAGGCCCAATAAACATGTCAGTTCTAAATAAATGAGAATTTTCTGACTATTTTTTTAAAGGGTCAGGCTTCATAGGGTTAAACTCTTTGAGAAGGACAACAGATACCTTGTCGAGCCACAATGAGACTGGCTATGCAATCTGGAACGCTGGTGCCCGCAGCCAGAAACGTGATGCCCATGATGACATCAGGGATTCCCAGCGTGTAGCCAATTATAGTGACCTGAAGACGCAGAGACACGTGGAAAGATCAGGAGTTTCACATGTTGTCTTTGGGTTTTTTCATTAAACATTTTAACATTTGTGTTCTTTAGTTTGGGGATGATCACAGCACATAGGATCCAGATTAATATTTTCTAACATCATTTCTTGTAGATCAGACTAAACCTTCTGTTTACACACTTTGTTAAATAGGCAGCAAGTACTGTCGCAATTTTGCAGAATGTAAAACAGCAAAAATCTCTGCCAAATCCAGTGTTGTATAAAGTACCACAAAGTGATACTTGAGTAAAAGTATCTTACCAAAAGATTGCTTCGGTAAAAGTTAAAGTTTCCTTTAGGAATATTACATGAGTAAAAGTCTTAAAGTACCTGTAATTTTTTGTACTTAAGTATTAAAAGCAAAAGTATTGATTCAAAACGAGCAGTTAGATTTTCTGTAAGGACATTTATCAGGAGGTGACCTCCAAACAAAATGCAGAAATGACTATATATTGTATTAAAATAATTAATTTGTTAAATCTAGGATGCACTAGTCTGTTTCAGTTTATATACATATATCAAGGCTGCACAAAGCTTTTCTAAAATGAAAATCTGAGGGCTGCGGCCAAATGTAATAATAATATAATTCATGAAATACAAATACTTCTTAAGTACAGTCCTTTTATTTTAATGATTATGTCCTGCTGGAGACATGATTTGTTTGTGTACAAACTAATACACTATCAGAGTTTTATATATTTATACTTCTTATTCAACCACAGTTAAATTCACTCTAGGAGGCACAGTTTATATTACATTACATTATATTATTTAGTTTTTTACAATAACAAGCTGGAATGAAATAAAAGTAACTTTTTACTTCTTGCCTTTTTTTTTAAATGTGAGTAACAAGTACAGATAATTGTGTGAAAATGTAAGAAGTTAAAAGAAGGCTGAAAAATAATTACTTAAGTAAAGCACAGATACCCAAAAGATCTTAAGTACAGTAACAAAGTATTTGTACTTAGTTACTTTACAACTCTGCATTTCATGCTTACCATCCAGACCATCAGGTAGGAGAAAACTGCAATCCAGACGGTGGAGAGAAGGAAGGAGAGCATGAAGAATTTCTCCCAGCGAGGTTTGGCACAGTTCGGGACGGTGAAGAAGAGCAGCAGGAGCAGAGGCCACGAGATTAGCCACTTCACCTTGGTGCCAATCCCACCTGCAGGACCACCACCGTTAGCTTCAGCCGAAACCAGTTTGCTTTTCCACACATTTAAATTCAAGCTTCTGCATGGGAACATTTTTTTCATAAAATCTCTAATTTAGCTCCGCCTTAAAGATGTATTAAAAGGATGAAGTTTATCAGCTTCAATAAATCGTTTAACCAAGATATTTTTAACAATTGGGTACATGAACACATTTCCACAACTGCACTCAATATTTTCTCTAAAGTTCTTTGGATGATTGAACTAAATATTCCTTCTGCTGCCATTTCCCTCCCTTTTGACACCATTTTCAGTTCATCTCTAAATTATTTTCCACATGACTAATAGATTTAACATTTACACCAAGCTTATACGCATTCATTAAAATAAATCACGATTCGGTTCAAAACTTTAGTCTCACGGTTTGAGGATTTTCTTTTAATACAGAGAAATGCCCGTGCACTTCTTAACGTGTAATTTTTTGGAATTATTTCTGAACATTTGTCCAGACTCCAAAGTACATTTACAGCAGGTAAAATAAGTATTAAACACGTCAACATTTTTCTCAGTAAATATCTTACTAGAGGTGCTAATGACATGAAATTTTCACCAGATGTTGGTAACAACCCAAGTGATCCATACATACAAAGAAAT